ATTGGTGATCTGATGTTGTACCACCTGGACAGAAAACTAAATTGCTCATTTAGAATGCAAGGTCCATATGTTACATAACATTGTATAATGGCTCAAAGGACCAGCAGGTATAGCATATTAGGCCAGAATGTATAGAGAAATCAATTTTGGTGATTGGATCTACCAATATATTGCAAATTTACTTTAGCCAGAAAAACCTTACAAGATGACAATAAAGGCTGTGTGTAGCTGCTAGCCAGTAGGTGTATACAAAACTGAAAGTTTTTATTGCCCAAAACTTTGATTGCAATGTATTGGAGTCATGGGGGAAGGCAAAAATAATTTTTTTTTGTTTTTAACTGCTTTCAACTACCCTGGACCTGTTTTTGTACAAAACAACCCCTCATTAGCCTCATCATTTTATGGGTTGTTTTCCAGAGAAAGGAAAAAGCCAACAGTAAAAAAAGTTAAAAAAATTACAGTGACAATACAGAAATAATTAAAAACACAGGTTTAAAAAAAAAAACAATAAATGAAATTAGCTTTACTGCCTTCAAAAACCCCCCAATAATAACATATTCTACATATTCTACTCCAGCATCTAAATTAGCAAATTTAAGAATGTAAGAGTTCCTGCTTTGGCAACATTTTGTGAATGGTGAAATTGGTAATTTTGCCAAAATCTGTTTATACCTACTGGTCAGCTACTGCAGGGTCACAATATAGCAAGTCAGACCCTTGCAATATATTTTCCTACCATCATATAAGATTTGTATTAAAAGTTGCTTCTCTGTTCATTCCTACTTTCATGCTATCATTATACAACATACTACATAAAACGGGAATCACAAAAAAACAAAAGCCTGATAAAAACATGGAAACCTCTATTTTGAAAATCAACCAAATAACATTTAAAAATCTCATGTAAATTCCCACCCTAGATCACAAATCAATAGGCTCTCTGAAAACAATATTAGATTAAGTATGAAAGGAACACTCATTTCACAATTTTAAACGTTTCCTTAGAGCTCAAGGTTACATTAATACAGCTAGTCCTTAAAACATTTCAATTGTCCATAGATAAACTCAAATGATAATTTCCAAGTTCAAACAATTCATACAATTGCCTGTTTGAATTCATTTGTAATTATGATCTGCAACACACTTTAAACCACCAATTTTTGATTAATCTCTAATTCACACATGCCATCTTCAACAACACCACTTCTATTGTGGAAAAATCCCACTTTAAAGTGTAGTTCCACTATTACAGTCAAATTTAAAAAATGCCCACTGTTTATTTGTTATGTGTTCCCATTCACACAGCATACCTCAAATATTTCTTTTTATACAATGTTCTTACCGTTCTAGTTGTTTCTCTGGAATTATAATTTCAGAATGAAAGGGGAAGGACAAAGTGGGGACAAATTGAGTTTCTCTCATTAACCTGCAATGCAGAACCCAAGCCTTAACACTTTGTAAAGACAGACAGTGCTAAAATCTAGTTTACAAATAATAATGAGATTTGGCAGCACACTACAGACAGGGTTATTTATGGTAGACACGACCTCCCCAGTCCCCTTCTTAACATTACATAGTAAGGGAAAACTTTAGTTTTGGAAGCAGGTAGAAATGTAAGCAGTCATTTTTTTTATGTTATGCTACGTAAATGGGAAAATGTAACAAATATAAAGTAGGTGTCGTCCCAATTTGGCTGGAAAAGTGGAAATAAACTTTAAGTTAATTTTATTTTTCATTTAATTTGTCATATGAGCTACTGCTCTTTTATGTAAATATTAAAGGTAAACATGACAACATAAATGCAGCATGCACTACACAAAGCATAAATGGCAGTAAAGGTGTCAGTGTGTAACTCAATCTGACAGCACCAAAAATAAACATGGAGATTGCATTGTAGCTTTGCAAAACAATGAAACAGATAATCATGGCAACAGATTTATCAAACAGGGCTACCAAAAGTATGTTTGGTGAAACCTGTTGTAATCCATGATTGCCTTATTTGTTGTGTTGTGCCACATCTGCCTTTATTAGTAAATGTTTACCTTACTGAAATGTATTTATCTAATTTCAGGTGAAAATAACCTTCGAACAGAGACTCCATTCAAAACCTATTACTCCATTTTGGTTGGAATGGAGTGAAGCATATAGTGATATTAAAGTCAAGAGGTTTTTCAAATATTGACAAAATCCCTTAGAATGGATGAAGCTTCTTTATGATGTTTAAAAGTTTTAGTTTCCTGCAGAATCAGCTGGTCCCCTGAGCCCTGTCCTGACAGTCTTCTTTAGGGTGGCTTCTTTCCCTTGCAGGGTCCTATAGAGCCATCCTTGTGTGTGCTAGTAACCTGTGTGCGTTTCCACAAACACACAGGCACAACAGTCCTCCTTCCTCCCTTTTCCCTTCTCAAGGCTAGTAGATGAATGGCTGGTGGAGACTGTGCCCTCACTTGTGATCTTCTACTGGACAGAGAGACTGTATCCACAGATGGATGCCGGTGTATGGCTATCATCTTTCTTTTTCATCTTAGTAAACAGGGCGGTAGTATTAAAAACATTATTATCTGTCTGCACACTAGAGTGGCATGAATAACATATTACAGTGTAATAGACATACATTCTGCACAATAACTGAGATACCTACTACCATGTCTTTATCATCTATTGCATTATATTTTGTATTCACCTGAAATAAGCAAATGTAAGCTAACTATGGCATACAGACAAAAGCAGCTAAGCTGGGCATCAGCTAAAACATAAAATCACAGTAAGGTTTTTAAAGCATTATAATGAAAATTGTCTACTTAATGCAAGCTAACTTTGGTTAATAACTTAATTCCCCTGCAAAACCCTACACATTTCTTCAAAACCACATGCATACTAGCAATATGCTTAACTCCAACTGAAGTGTAGTGTGTTTTTCAGTAATTGGCTTGATAAAGACAGCCTTACATGGTTTAAAAACACTGCATGTTATTATGGTGGTTTCCTCAGTAAAGTCCTCTTAAGTGAAAATGTATAGCATGCTGGCGACATATGCAATTGTTATGCACAGCCAGAACGCAAGACAAGGCAAATTGCCTTGTCATGTATGGCCTCGTTTCACACCACTGCATTCTGAAGGTGTGCATTTAAAATAAGTACGACATGCAGTACTTTTATAAGCACACCGCAGTGACATGTGGTACAACCACATTGCACTGTGGTAAACCCATAGAACTGAATGAATATACACTTATGATATTTCAATAAAGTTCTCAAAAGAAAAAAGAACTAACAGCTCGATCAATATTGTTCAAGGACATGCACACCAGCAGCCGTGCGGTTGAGCGTGGCTGCTGGTGTCAATGTACCCTTAAAGCTGAACTCTTGGAAATTGTCTAAATACAAGGGCATATGTATTGTTAATTAAATCTTGCTTTACTGTGTAGATTTCTTCCAGATCTGTGCAATAATCCATTATGAAATGTTGCCTCTGAGCTGGAGGTTCCTTTATTCAGACACGTCATGGCTGCTTTCTCTTTTTGTGTAGGGTGAATGGTCTTATATCCACCCCCTCCTGTAGTTTTCTGCAGGCTGCCTGTAGTGGTTGGGCCTGTGGGATCCTTCCTACAGATCTGCTTTGTGAACAAGCTATGTGCAGCACAGTGATGCCTGTTAGAATACACATTACTGTGTTTATAGCAGCAACTTCTGCAGTATACAATTTCGGTCACTAGATGCCAGTGTTTATAAGTTCTGTTATACAGTATCTATGGTATATGCTCTGTTGTATTTAAAAGAAATAAAGCTGTAAAGCTGTTGTATTGAATAAAGCTGTTTTCCTTCCTGTTTTCAAGCCATGTGCAGCATGCATATCACAATGTGTGCTTGTGTTTCTCTGTGAGGCTGTGCAAGAAGTTCCAACAATGCCACCATTACTTTTACATGATGAGATAATAACTGGCTGTCACCTTCAGCACCCACTATAGTTAAAGTACAACTAAAGGCTTCTGTATTATAGTCTAAACAAGTATCAAAACCAGTCACTGTGTGATGAACAAGGCTCAAAAAATAAAAGAAAAACTTCCTTTACCTGCCCTGCCTGAGCCAAATCATCCCTCATTTGTGTTTCACACACTTCCCTCCCAGACACTGTTGCTCACAGTGGGAAGGTTTTAGCAACAGGGGCAGTGCTGCCAATCCAGAAAGCAGAGGGTAGGACTAAGTGTAGACAGGTGTTGACTAAATGACAATGCTTGTGAATCCGCAGTTACAATACTGATAGCCACGCCCACTGCAAACATTTTTTAGTCCACTGCAGTGCAAGCAGGCACAGCCTATATAGGAGTGGTCTACTCTGCTCTGAATTCAGGACCAGTGCAGCATCATTTTCACACCATCAAAGGAAGCTGCATTAGGTAGTCTTCACTGGCAGGCTTAACAGGTAATTGTGGGTATTTATATGCAACTGGATATTATTATTTTGGCATTGATGGAACTCACCACAACTAAGCCACCTGATGGCTGAAGAGGCTGTTTGCCTGGGCAAAGTGACTATATACAAATTTTCGAAATTTTTATAGATGCTGATTAGACAATTTTAAAACCACATTGTTTCCCCCAAGGACATTTTATGGATTTAAACTTCAGTTGAGCTGCAGTAAATTCTTTTAAATTGCAACAAAATACACTACAGGTCAAATGGAGGTGGCAATTGCCATTAAAAAGTACATTTTAATCTCCTAGAATTTATGTTCTTGCAAGGTATGTTATTATTTAAAGCTGGAAACATCAATTTCCACAAACAATTACTAATAAAAAAATCATTTTTTTCAGTAATTCTAATTGTATATAAATTCAGTGGATTTAACATATAAAATATAGATAATATTCTGATACCAATAAGCTCTACAAAAGCAGCTAAAATCTGGTGTATAAAGACTGTGTTACAAAAAAACCCTCACTAGCATAATGGATGACAAGATACAGTAATAAATGTAACATTAATTTAAGCAAAGTATTACAGAGCTCCGATTTGGTGAGTCGGATCCACTTCCAGAACTGCTCTTCTTGGTCTTCTGTGCCAAAGAAGTCCCAAACCGGAGTGCTTCATATACAGGATCGACTTTGTTACCACAGGCTGAAGAATACAAAATTGAAAGAAATGAGACAGTCATTTTTCAAATATAAAAGCAAATTTACCTTAGTATGATTATTTACCTTAATCTGGTAAGGGCCGCTGGGGATGCAGAAATTCACTTTAGTAGTCTGTACTACGTACAGTCATTGATTGGATTCTTCTGGTGTCGCTTGAGTGACTTGCAATCTCTATACTGAACACAGGGAGTTACTCGCTTGGCACTGCTGCCATTCAGAAAATATCTTGCATTTTTTTTCAATGAATACAAGGTGTTCTCTGGTTGGGTGAGGTGGCAATTGTGGAGTCATCTGCCCCTCATTTCCACCTCATCCAATAAGAGAATGTCCTGTATGCACTGAAAAAAATACAAGATGGCACCCGGAAGAAACTAGCACTTAGTGTAGCACAGGCCCTGCAGTGAATTTTATCATCCCCAGTGGCCCTCTGGATGTGAGATATGAAGAATTAGATGTAACCTAGCTGGATGTAAATTTCAAAAAAAGATAATTCCTTAAGTCCAGCTTAAAATTGTGGTTTGTTTTTTTTTGGTTTTCTTTTTTGCAGAACTCCAGATATCTTGTCAGTTTTAAGCTGTAGACATGCTAGGAGTTTTTACACCCACAGGAAGGTTGTAAATGTGGGGTTACTTTCAGAGTAGCTAGACTGCAGCAGAAGCTCTGGAGTTAATATATCGACCACAGATGCGGAGGATGACTAGGACTATACTGCTTAGGCACCAAGTTAGACATCCAGCAGCTTACAGCAACTGCATGCAGTACAGAATAATCCAAGGAAAGCTGTGACTAGCATCATTACAATTCCAAAGAGTCACAAGACTCTTCCTGTGCATCTGTTGTCAGACCCTATGTACTAGACACGGGTCAGAGTCACAGCCAATTCTCCAACACTTAGTACAGTACTGGATATGTATAATCTTCACATACATACACATTCTGTGTTTAATTTGGCTTAACTGGCTTTATCATGGAGCCTCCTCCTACCTCCAGGCCCCATACCAGCAGCAGTCCCTGCAATGACAATAGTTATGCCATTGCTGTGCGGTAAATAAGAATATTTTTGAGACACAAAACTGAAATTGTTAAAATCTGAGAAAGGTTGTGCTTGATAGACATTAATCTTTTCTAAACAAAATAATGGTCAAAAATACTGATGTAAATAAGCAACGGAGGAGCTCAGACAAAATAATCTTATATTTCATTATTGCCAAGTCAGGAACTCAGTAGGGGGTGAGTAGGGTCTCACTATTGTCAGAACAGGGATACCACATGTAACCATTCCTTTTTAGTGGGTATCATTTTAAATAAACTGCAAAATAGTATGTAGTAATATTAAGGGCTCAATTAAAGGGCATGCACATCCGTATGGTGTGCATGCCCGTGCAGAGAGCTGATCCCAGGGGGGGAAAGGTGCTGCGTGTATTTGTGTGCAGGAGCCTGTACCTTCCTATGAGTATAGTGAATAGCCTGTACAGCAGCCCTGAACCGAAGGGGTCCTTGGGCCGAAGCTATCCGAAGGATCAGCCGAAGCTACGTCTAGATCCTTCGGTAGCTTTGTGAATAGACCACTTAATATTGTCAAATATAAAGTATTGCACTTAGGGGTTAAAAACAGGCAATCAGAATACACATTAATGGGTACTCCACTAGGGAAGTCAGAAATGGAAAAAGATTGAACAGCACACAATGCCAGGCTGCAGCAAACAGAGCTAGCAGAGTACTGTCTTGCATTAAAAAGGGAATGCACTATAGAGACAAAGCAATAATTCTGCCACTTTATAGATCACTGGTGTGGCCTCATCTTGAGTATGCTGTTCCGTTTTGGTCACCAGTCCACAGAAAAGATGTCCTTGAGCTGGAGAGAGTCCAGAGAAGAGCAACAAAGCTAATTAAGGGGGCTGGAGGATTAAAGCTATGAGACAAGGTTGCTAAATGTAAACTTGTTCACGCTGGAAGTGAGGCGATTAAGAGGGGACATTATTTTGATGTACAACATGTTCAGTGGTGATGAAGGTGATGG